GCCCTTAGGCTTAGTCTTTATTTGTATTGCAGAAAAGGTTTAAAAGTAAACTAAGATTGATAGTATTTCTTTATTATAATTTATTTTATTAAATTGACATTAATTGCAGGCTAAGAAACTCAATGTACGCAAATTTCGTAATTAATGTACAGAAAATATAAAATTATTCTAAGCTGAGATCTTTAACCTTTACAGAAATAAATAGTATTTATTTTTTTAATTACATTGACACTAATTGAATGTTAAGAAAGTTACTGTACGCAAGTAATTAACGTATTTCTTCGATTTCATGTTAATGCTGAAGCTTTTTACAGTTATATGAATCATGTAGAGCTATTTTTAAAATAAATCACATTTAGGATGTATGTTAAATATTTTTTATACATTTTAAAATCTTACACAAACGGTTAATATTCTACTTTTGTATAGTAACACTTTATTTATAATATATTATCATACTGACATCACATATGAGAAAGTTTGTATGTTTATCCACGCCTAAACGGCAGAAAGGGTTCAAGTCAAATTTGATACAAAAATAGATCATACTCTGAATTAATTACATAAACACATTTAGATATTTTACAGAGTAAAAGTAATGCGATATAAACACCATATATATTAAAAAAGTATACACTATAGTAATTATGATAATTTCCCATCATTCACGACATTAAAACATATACAGATATTATATGCACAAACAAATTGTTATCATAAATAAATTCCGAGCTATTTCCCTGCACTTAAGCTCACCCGCCCCGTCTGAGCCACCGTAGGGATTTCGTAAGGGTTCTTTCTGGTAGGCAAAACGATTTAGATCTGATATTCATAACCCGTGAGGTTCGCGGTCCTTTGTAAGCTTATGGACCGCCGTAAACGGCTTAACGTGTGTCGAGAAATACCAAGATATTTAAAAGGTCAGAGGCGTCTCTTTGCCAGAGTTGTCCCTACTAAAGAGCCTGTACACTTTTAATTAATACGCTTGAATATTAATTGATACGAGAATAGCGACTTTTGTAACTTAATTTTGGAATATTGGCAAAATATATTGAATATGATTTTTATTCGTTGTATTATTTTAATGCTAATATTAGAATACATAAAAAGCAATAATAATAATATGTAAGAAAAAAGTATATACATATATATAAAATCACAATTTATTTAGATTTCAGGTTTATTAGATTTTGCTATGTAAAACAGGTTACATTTAGCTCGACAGTTACAAAATTATAAGCCTTTAAAAAACAGAAATAGAGAAAAAAAATATCTGTAGTTAACGCCTATTACTGGTATTGTTTATTACTGGTGTGTTTTTAAAGGTTTTTTTTACTGACTATAAAATATTGTAATTTTTTTTACACCTATATACTTTTTTCTTACATACTATTTTATATTTTTATAATATCTGTATATATTTCAAATTGTAATTTCTGGGCGTCCGTACTTTAGGCCCAACTGTAAATTAGCGCTGGAAACTATGTTTCCAGTATTATGGTGGATTGTGGTCCATATTGATTCTGTTTTATAATTTGTGTAAATTGTTGTTTGTATTTTTTTTGTCATTATTGTTGTGTCAGGACAAGTCAATAAAATTCTATTCCATTTATTTTAACTCAGTTAGTACTACTGACTTCTGACAGCTACTTTGCATAATTATGGTCCCTGTATCTTATTGTTTAGCACACCGCCTTACTTCCGATATTGGGTTCGGTTCTTGCACGCATATAATTTGTATTCATTAGCATGATTGTCTGTATAAACATGGGTGATAACTATAAAAATTATGTATGTATAAAAAAATATTTAGGTTATTGTTGCAGTTTAGATTCGATACCTCTGCTTAGTTTTGGACTAGATGGCTTTTTGTGAATTATCCTGCCTTAATATCATTTTACCTTCCTAAATTCGTTATTTTAATTGGTTAAAGTACGGTAGGGAAAAAAGTAATATTAATACGAATCTGACGTTCATAAGTAACTAAAAAGTCATATATGAATAAATTATTTTAGATTTGATTTGATTTGTAGTTAAAGCGTAATAAACAAACAAAAGCACTTTATGTTAGTATATATAATTTTCTTATACATGTATTTGTCATCTAACTCCTGCTTAACAGTTGTAGGTACCTATTTATATGAAATTTTGTAAGTACTTTTCAATGGGATTGTGGATGGTTTCAATACACATGCCGCAGTGTATAACCAATAGAGAAGCTGAGATACCATTATCATCATCATCATTAAAAAAAAACCCATCAAAAACACTATAATCTCTTCTCTTTTTGTCAACCCTCACTACAAATATCTTTAATGATTCTGGTACTCTACCTTTGCCTTTTTGAATGCATAAGTGAGGATATATAGGGGTGAATATTTAATAACCGTTCCCTTCAACCCCTTTCGCTTAGTACAAGGCACATTTATTTCACAGATGGACCAACGATATAAATGTGTTCGAATTCTCCATTACTTCCAAGAAATACCTTTTTCAAAGAGATTTTTCTGCATAGCATAATTGGGACCTAATTTTAAATATTGACCCTTAAGGTACTTACATGGAATTGCGATATAATTTTTTTTCTATTGATTAATATTGTGCATCCGCCTGCTCTAATAGTACACCCTAGGAGGCACCAGAGAAACATGATCTGATGAGCATAGAGTTCAGTCAGACAATCGTGGTGATTGCACCTGAAATTTACCATGTTGGTTGCTAGGGTGGACCACGTGAAGGTCGACCTAACATGGAATAATACTAGCAATGAGACTACTAGTTCCTAACAATAATAATAATATCTTTGTAAAATTCACACAGCGCCATTTAGTCCCAAGTTAACCCTCTTAGTGCCGGGAGCCGATATATCGGCTCCTGCTACACTTGCGAAAAGTGCCAGAGCCGATATATCGGCCCGCGCCTAGCGGTTACTACTCGCATTGGAGGAGAAGTTACAATAACAAAATTTTAGACATTTACAATATATAAATATAAATATTTATGACAACATAATTTTGTTTCAGCAATGTTATATTACCGATATCAATTACACAGTTCAAAAGAGAAAATCCGTCTGGCGCCTACCGTGTACCTTTAAGTTATGTTTTGTTTTTATTGTGTAATATTGTTTATCTTGTAAAAAATATATATTGGAAATACAAAGTATATACTTTATAATAATTGACCCATATAAAATTATCATGAAAAGATGACTGTTTGTATGTGCAAATACTTTTTCTACAAGAGATCTCAAATTCATTTCGTTTACAAACGTTTATACCTTTGGTTTTTCTATAATTTTCAAATGAGTTCGATAAAACTAGTATCATTGTGTAGTTCTGTATTTCATCCACAATACGCAGCTTTTTGAATCATGTAAATATTGTGTCTCGTTTGGTTTTTACAAGCATATTTCCGAACCCTTGTAAAACTGAAATTCGGCCGGTTTTTTTCGCATTGGCATCTCTATTTCGCCCGTCATTGAAAGGGTTTGCAGAGATTGTGTTGTGGCTACTAGACAATTAATACAAATACATTTTTTAATATATACAATATGCATAGCAATTACAAATCCGCGACCATCGGAATGAAAGTGGTGTGCTATACCGCTAGACCACTAATCTTTCCGATAATTTGTTCTTATATATATAATATTTGTTAATACAAGATTTGTGGCCTATTATACAAATATATATATCCTTAAAAGATATGTACACTAATCTTAATAACCCACAATTGATAAATATTGTTCTTATATATATAATATTTGTTAATACAAGATTTGTGGCCTATTATACAAATATATATATCCTTAAAAGGTATATGTACTACTTTAATAAATAAAAGTAATAACGATCCACAAATTGTTGCTCGTCTACACACGCCCTTATCGCCAGACCCTTCATAAAAGCTAAAGAGAGACCGGCTTTACTTTATAATTTTATTATAATAAAAATCCGTGCGATTTTTAATATTAAAGGTAATTTAACTTTGTAATATTCTGTTTCAAACATAATTACGCCGCTAAATAATTTTACAATTAATGAACCAATTAGCTTTTACATAGAAATTTTCTTTTTGCAATTTGTAAAAAAAAATTCATAAGGAAAATGCCAGAAAAATACGCAATAAAACATTTGTTTGTCTGCCAGCGAATAGCAATTACGGGCTGTAAAGGGACTCGCGATACAAACAGGAGGAGAGAAAAAAAGGATTTCTCAAGTTATCATTATTTTGAACCGTAACAAAGAATAGAATTTGTCTCGAAATTTGTCTTGTATGTGGCGAGAACATAAAAAAATATTCAGACTTCGCTTAAGTTACCATTATTTTGAACCATATTAAGGTAACAGGTACAGTAACAATAATAATAATCCTGAATAATTCACACTGCTTCGTCTAAACATAAGCAGAGCTTGATTTGTGGGTATTATAGACAACTGACAAAATACTTAGATACATTTTTTACATTTGTAAATACATACAAACACCCAGAACAACAATGGTTCTCATGAATACAAAGATTTGCACCTTGCGATGAATCGAACCCCAACCATTGTATGTAAAGCGGTGTGCTAAACCGCTAGACCACCAGTGCCGTGAATATATTTTATTGCATACATTGAAAATGTTTCCATTACGATGAATGGTAAGGTAAGGGTAGTAAGGTAGGTAAGGAACACACGTGTTGTTAAATTATATCAAAGAATGATATGTTTGATGTATAATAGGCCGTCTGTAGCCCACTCATGCATAGATGGAATATCTCCTTTGGAAAGTATACACTCTATCCTGGAGAGATAAAAATTATCGCTCCGAAGAATATCCTTCAATTCTTGTCCCTGACGGGTCTAGGTAGAGGACTTTGATAAAGGGCGAGCGAGACATCTGTGCAGGTCATAGTGCCACAGGTAAGACCTGTGCACCTTAGCCCAAAACATATAAAAATTAAAATAATAGACCATTTATAAAATTGTAAGTGAAGTAACAAACCAACTTACCGTTTTCTGTATTTGTATATGATGAGGACGATGAATGCGTTGCCGATGAACAGCGCAGCTATTAGGAGTGATGGTATGACAATGTCTGAAAAGAAATATGTATATATTAGTCTTAAATAATAGTAATGACCCAGGACTATTCATACAGCGCCACCTAGTCAAGCTAAGCAGGGCTTGTTTAATGGGTACTAAACAACTTATTATGTATGCAAACTAGCTGTGACCACATCCCGAGGTTTCACCCGCGTGATTTCAATTTATAGTCTATATATTATTCTGATGTATAAATTACAGTATTGTAAATTTTCATTAAAATCCATTCAGTAGTTTTGGCGTGAAAAAGTAACAAACATATCCACACTCACATACTTTGTTTGTAATAATATATTAGTACTAACTGACCCCCAAACGTTGTTTTGCCATATTAATTAATATCGCTATTAAAAAATAAGTGTTGGTGTTAGAAAGGTTCAAATTTAGAAAAAAATAGGGTAGTATATAAATTTTAATGACACTTTATAAAAAAAAATTGTCCAAAAAAAATGTTAAAGGAGGACAACTCTTATCCCTTAGGGGTATGAAAAATAGATAGTAGCCGATTCTCAGACCTACTGAATATGCATATAAAATTTCATACAAATCGGTCAAGTCATTTCGGAGGAGTATTGTAAATAACATTGTGACACTAGAATTTTATGTATAAGAAGATACATATTATTATATAATATTCACAGAAAATTAAATTAGTAGATTGCCATTGCAAAAGATATCTATAAATCTATCCTATAAAACACATAACATCTTGAAGGCCTACTAAGTCTACACATTCAATTCAATACAACGAGACATAAACAAAAAAAATTTTGTACATTTTCCCTTAATCTAGCGATTAATTGGAATTAGAGGGGATCTGTAGAATTCAATTTAAAAGATGTTTGAAGCATCGGGATCGTACAATAAGCGTCTTCACGGATCATCAATATAAAATAGAAACACAGCAAAAACTTGGTTAGATTCTGAAGTTATACCTACTGTATTAAGTTGGCGACGTTTTAAATATATTTTAATCATTATATATTTTTTTTTTATATTAATACTTTAGTACACACGATTTTTATAAATATTAATTTACCTGTTTCTATAAAATATTGTAGTTAGCACCAGAGTAATTCAAAGGCGTTCCATTCAATTTATGTGCTTTGACAATATTTTTTATTTTTCGGTGGTCTTAATATTATATTCTCTATAAAGCTAATTCATATGAAATATGTGTTTTTATCTCTATCTGATGATGTAAATATCAATAACAAACCACTAAATTAATCCGAGAGAGAGGTAGTAGAGTCGCACCCTGCCAGAAGTCTGGGCATTTTAATTGTTGAATTTACCTCAGCGTCGATAGTTTAAAATGTCGCTGACTACCAGTAAATTTACTTTACAATATATATGTATCATGTATATAGGTATCAGTGTAGGTATTCAATTTATATTTCCAAAAAAAAAATGTAATTTTATTTAAACTGACAATTCAATAAAGTTTTATAGAACAGTTTTCCAGATTGATCCACCGATTGTGGCAGTAGGTTCATGGTACGAAACCGTACCGTAGATAATATCACTGCACAATGTCGTGTCTGTCCCTGAACTTACAAACTTTGGTTGTATATTCAATAAGTTTTCAGTTACATATTCAAAATGGCAGACTACCTTTTGAGAGAATCAAATGACATCAAATCGACAATGCGTCAAGTATATGACATTTATAGGACGATTTCTTTTTTATTATTCACTTGAATACTAACTGAAATACTAACAGACGGACAGATAAAGTTGCATCATAATATGAATATCTTATGGTGCAACCATTTTACCACTTTCACGATTCAGAAGTATAAAACCTCTTAGCTAAACTTGCTATAAACACCAAAAAAAGTTAGTCAAAAGTATGTTATAAATTATCTATTGATACATTAAATTACAACTTTAATTCAATTGCAGTACAGCAAATACTTGAATGGCTTTCCATAAAGACTCTATAAGACCCTATATACTTAACAATTTGTTAAACCTCTGGTCTCGGTCCTAAAACCGTTAGGCTACGTTCACATTGATAGGCCACTTCATTAGCGTCTAAAGTCGAGTAACTTACATCATAATGCCTTACTAGGATACAGTTCTTATGTAACTTAAATGTTTACCATCATGTAAGCTGACCTTATGGCAAGTGGTAACCGTCGCCAATACAAGGTAGATGGTGTACGAAGCTAAATACAAAAAAGCCAAGTAGAGTGATTATTGAACTGGATTACTTTCATCAAGAACTAAGTGGAAATCTAAAAATATTTTTTTAACTTTTCATACCAAATTTACGAAACAAACTCCAATGATATCAAATATTATATATTAATATTCGTATTGCATCTGTAGTAGGTACAGTTATTTTATTAATATAATCACTGACTTTCAGCTTGATATACTCTTTACGACTAACTCCATATACACGTACAGCACCGAGGAGGCAAATAAGCATAGGGCACATCTGATGGTAAATGGTTACCATAGCCCACGCATGCCTGAGACACCAGGGGTGTCAGGTGCGCGTTGCCAACTCTAAATTCTCTCTGCTACTCCACAGGTACTGCGCTAGGGTCTAGGTCCTAGAACCTAAAATATCACCTGACGAGTACCCAAGTCTATGCACTAAACAAGCTGCGCAACTGTGCAGATGTAGCCTTATTCATCTGGATAGTCAGAAATGCTTAATAGCGGCCGACGGAGTTCGCTACAAGTTCCCGACTTGACAATATGGCTTTATTACAAGTTTAGAGTCGCTGTTACCTCCAGTCGTTTTGCATAAATTACCCCCCTTTTGTCCCAAAACAGATGACTTCAATTTTCAGTGGTTGCAGTGCTGTAGAGAAAATGAAATTACTGGCAGTAAAGCCATATATAACTAGAATAATAGTTATTTCCGCTTTTGTCTGTGATATTCATAAACGAATAGGATGCGATAGGTCGTATACATTTCAAAATTCGAATTAGGGACAAAAAGTTTTTTCTTCATACACGGACAAAAAATTCATACACGTTTCGAAATATCAAAGTAAGACTTTCATCATCACAGAAATAGCTATATCATAATATACAGAAGAATATTTTAGATTTACCTTTATTTTTTATATTATATGTACAGATATATATAATATAAAAATTGTATTGAGTATTCTAAGAAATTAAACATCCTTGAACAAACAATCTGTATAACATTCTACAATTACTATCGTAAAAACATTCTTTAAGCAACTTGCTTTTTACAATAGAACTGTGTACCTGAATTCCAATTTAAGATAATAAAAAAATGAATAAGCATGACTAATAGTGTAACAGAGTATTTCCATTGACGTGACTATTACATAAATTTTACAATATTTACTTGTATCTATTATAGCCTATTTGTTTAAAACTCCGACTTAGATCACAATGGTCGTAAGTTTGTTAAATATTTGTGTTACTTAATGGATTTATATTGTTTTCTTTAATTCCGGTACCATTGGCATGTGTGAGACCACAAATATTCAATGCGGCGGGTGAACAGTGAAAACTAGACTATATCCGAAGTCTATTCATTGCCTGACGATGGCTCGTTCAGAAGCCAAATACATCGCAACCTGGGTGTAATTCAATAACAGTCGCAATTTGATCACCAATAGAGAAGGCCGTAACGCTTTCAGTAACGGTGGTCAGGTTTCCGCACTGAATATTTGTGGTCTCACACAGGCACAGGCTCAGGTAAGGAAGAGAATATAAACTTATTAAGTACTAAAATGAACTTCAGCAAAATGATTTCTAATTTGATACCTGGTATACGTCGCTATATACATGGCATCCACGAACATCACGTTATCATGTGATACAACATGGCCTTTACGATTTCCCTGCCTTATACGAAACACAAAGCAAGCTGATCCCCGGCTGAAATAGGTGAGACAGATCTCTTCCCACACATCTGTGTGGGTAGAGGTCTGTCTTGTCGACTTTGTCTACGGTCTATTTCAATAAAATCAGAATTTTTAATCGTTATATAGTTTATGATATCCTGGCATCATATTTGTTATAAGTACATATACGTTCCTACAAATTTGATGCGAATAACGAGCGTATGTTAAAAATTGATAACCTGATATGGCGCGCTGACATAACATATAGATTAGAGCTGTTAAGAAATGGCACGTACGTAACAAGGTAACGAGTACAGTACTTGTACTGAAGAACTGTTTCGGTACTTTGTAAATATCATAGTTACTATAGTTATTGTAGTTACTCTTAGTTACTGCAGTTACCACCTTGTTACTGTGGGTTTGTTTTGTTTGATTTATTATAGTTATCTTAAACAACTAGATCGTACCGAATAATATTTAAAACAATAATAATTATTACCTAATAATAATAGCGGCTGTAAATCTCATCAAAAGTAGTTAATGTAGTAACCAAGTGGTACTCATTACTATACAATTTACGATTGAGTAGTTAGTTTAGACTAATACGGGTAATCCATTTACCGTTACTTTTAAATCCCTAGTTATGATATGGCGCGTCGACATAACATATTTATGTAATGCGATACATATATCCGATATCTATTTGAGGATAGACATGTCGGTAATCGAAATATAATATTCAATATTTTAATTACATCAAAATTATTTTATAAATGTGGTATATATATTAGTAACATTTTGAATTAGAATTAAACAAAATTGATGTTAATTATTTTTAATTTGGGGTTAACATATATGAAGAAACCTCCCTAAAACTGTAAAATGTGACACTAACTATTTTATTTAGTTCTGTCATTTATATTATCAATAGATGTCGATATATATACAAATATTCACACGGAAAGTCGCAGGAGCGAATAGTAGAACACCTGGACAGTTGTATTCCACTAGTATAAAAAACGTATATATTCTCTATTGCATTTATATATAGTAAGAAACAACATATTTATAAATAAAAATGTGAGCAAGGGTGGGCTTATCTCTGAGAGAGATCTCTTCCAGCCAACCTAAAGCTATGACAGTGGAC